AACTGTTCATTGGTGTTTATCTATCTCAGCAATTTTAAGATATGTGGGCCTCAACTCTCAGAATTCCCCAGCCATATTGGTTAGGGAATTCTGGGAGTTGAAGTCCACACGTCTTAAAGTTGTTGAGTTTGAGAAACACCAATTCATTGCCTCTTGGACCTTTAGTTAAGATCAAGATTGTATAGAGTTTTCATCCAACTTGTTCACCATTTCCCCATTTCTCAGATTATTGTTCATTGCTTTAATAAGAAAAAATAACGGACACATATGCATACTAATTAGTCATTCTTTGCAAAAAGAGAAAATTCTGGTGATGTCACTGAAGCTAAGCAGTAAGCCGGTTTTCACTGTTCAAAGTGATCTGCATTTTTCTTTTTTTTTAAACAAAGCCTACTCTGATGAAGTTACAAGATGCTTTGGCTGCAAATGCTGTGCAGAACTGAGATTGGCATCAGTCAGGGGATTCTGTACAGGTAGTCCCCCACTTATGGCCACAACTGAGCCCAACATTTCTATTGCTAAGCAAGACAGCCGTTAAGGGAGGCTGTTGGTTTGAGTTCCAATTTGGTTGGAAACGTTTCATCACCCTTTGAGGAGACATTGTCAGTGCGTTTTGAATTGTGCTCATCTGTCAGAACAAACTATCAAACAAGCCACTTGTTTGAGTTTGTTTTCACAGATGAGCACAATTCAAAACACACTGATGATGTCTCCTTGAATGGTGATGAAACATTTTCAACCAAATTGCGAAGCTCGGAGCTCACACCAACCGCCAACTACCAACCTGAGCCACTAATATTCAAACACATTTCAATTGTTAAGTGAATTTTGCCCCATTTTATGGCCTTTCTGGCCACAGTTGTTAAGCAACTCACCTCAGTTGTTAAGTTAGTAACACAGTTGTTAAGTCAATTCCTCATTGATATTGTTTATCAGAAGATTACAAAAGGTGATCAGATGACCCCAAGACACTGCAGGTATTCTAAGTGCATGCCAGGTGCCAAACTTCCAAATTTTGATTATGTGACCTATGGGGATGCTCTAACGGTCGTAAGTGTGAAAAACAACTGTCTCTTTTTTTCACTGCCGTTGTAACTTTGAATGGTTACTAAACTAATGGTTGTAAGTTGAGGACTACCTGTAGGTCCTCACAAAATGTTGCCACAGAGAAAATGCTGCTAAGATCCTTCTTCTGCATTTACTCTGGAGAAGTGGCAGGAAATATTGATTGATGGAATTCTGCTGTCATCAAAGTCTTAGAATTCCCCTTTTTGAAGCACCAAGATATCAGCATTTATTTTTTCGATATACTCTTTCCTCCTATTTCCCTCACAACAACAATTCTATGAATTGAGTTGGGCTGAGAGAGTGACCAATCCAAAGTGATCCAGATGGCTTTCATGATTAAGGCAGGACTAGAACTCATAGTCTTCCACTTTCTAGCCTGGTGCCTTAACCACTGGACCAAACTGGCCCTCCATATATTGGTGTTGTTTTCTTATCTTCCCTGACTGAGTTGAACGTAGGTTTGTAAATTGTGATTCCATAAGTTGATCCCTGTGTTTTATCTCTTCACTGCAAGATCAAAACAGCAAGGCAGCCACCTGGCGGGCATCAGAATGCCAGTTGATTGTGCTACTTTTCAACTAGCTTTCTAGGAAGGATTGCTGACTTTACCTGAAAGGTTGCTTAGCAGGTAGACTCTAAGATACATTTGAGGCAAAAGAATAGAGATGACAAGGATTGAGGAGACAAACATCTTGAGTGATTAGTCAGTTATGTGGAAGGGCCTGCAGATTCAGTTTTGCCTTTTTTCATTTAAAATTATATGTGGCTTCACATTACATTGTTCTGAAGATTACCTGAGTATTTGGACAAGTCGGTAGCCACATCTGGCCAAATGGACATGTTCATTTCCCCCTTAGAATTTAAAAGAACTGTACATCGAAAACAACTTCTTGGAGCATCTTCCATCAAGCATAAGATTATTGAATAACCTGGAAATACTTGACGTTCATAACAACTTTCTTATAGAACTTCCTGACTCCATATGCCAACTACAAGGTAAAAATGAAAAAGACATACATAAAAAAAATTCTTGGCATGCTTAGCCAACTTAGCTCATCATGCCATTTCATTTGTTTCCCCTGGTTTGTCTTTAGGTTTGCGGAAGCTATTGGTCCATAACAACCAATTATTTCAAGTCCCAGAGGAATTGGACAGCCTAGAAAAATTGCAAGTTCTATCGCTTGAAGGGAATCCTATGATGACCCCACCAGTGGAGGTATTCAGTCAAGGTTTGCCAGCTGTATGGGAATATTTACAACATAGGAGAAGAAAAAGAGCAACGACCATAAAGGTATGACATTGGGAGAAGGAGGACAGTCAGAAAGCATACAGGAGAACAGGTTAAATGAAATGAAATGGTATGTTGTTCACCCCTAATATCTTAAACAGTTGGAGCAACATGATTTGGATCAAGAATGTCTTTCCTGGGAAAAAATGTTGTGATCCTTAATTCTTATGATCAAACTACATATTGCAGTCATAAGTATGTAACAACATGATTGTGTGTAAATAATTATATGTAATGGCATGTGGGAATGATTTGATAAAATAGGAGCTGCAGAGAAAGCAATGACTCATTGCAGGTAGTCCTCAGGTTATGATCTTAATGGAGTCTGCCCATCACAGTTATAACACGCGACAGTCATAAAGTGGGTCGGTTACATCTGATTTTACAGCCTTTTTTGCATTGGACATTAAGTAGCTCACTATGGTTGTTAAGTGAGTCCATGATCATTAAGCAAACCAGTGGTTCGCTTTGAGTGTGATTTTACTGAAAACCAGAAGTAAATGCTGGTTTCAGAAAAACTTCCATAAAATGCAGTAGTGTATCTGTGGGATGCTGTAAACGGCTGTACATTCAGCCTGGTTGCCAAGCATCCAAAGTGTGGTCATGTGACCAGTTTGGGGGCAGGGCCGTGCGACTGTTGGAATGTTGAATTCAGATCCCCTGGGTATGTCTATCACACAGACTAAGCAACTGAGTCGTAAGTTGAAGACTACTTGCAAAAGGCAGCTGAGTCCACAAAAGGAATGGGGGCGTGGCAAACCTCTCAGTAGGGACCCTCCCTATTTCCTTGGACTGTAAAGGTGAGGGGGGAGGACAGATGTACTTTCAGACTTGCAAGATTCTGCTTAATGTAACCTTTCAGTAAAGACAGAGTTACGACTTCTACATGTCCTTCTCACAAGGCTGACATCATTCTACTAAGAGTAGGCCTCAACCTACGGCTACAATAGAACCCAAAATTTCTGTTGCTAAGTGAGAAATTTGTTAAGTGAATTTTGCCCCATTTTTACGACCTTTCTTGCCACAGTTGTTAAGTGAATCACTGTAGGTGCTAAGTTAGTAACATGGTTGTTTAAGCGAATTTGGCTCCCCCGTTGATATTGCTTGTCAGAAAGTCACAAAAGGTGTTCCCATGTCCCTGGGGCATTGCAGTCATCATAAATATGAATCAGTTGCCGAATACCTGAATTTTGATCATGTGGGGAAGCTGCAATCATCATAAGTGTGAAAAATGGTCATAAGTCACTTTTTTCAATGCCGCTGTAACTTTGAACAGTCACAAAATGAATTGTTGTAAGTCAGGACTACCTGTTATTGTACCCTATGACTATTATTAAATGTTGTACCGTATGATTGTTGACTTTTGATGAATGTATCTTTATTTTTATGTATACTGAGAGCATTTGCACCAAGACAAATTCCTTGTGTGCCCAATCACACTTAGCCAATAAAAAATAATTCTAATTCTGTATCATATTTGTATAAAAAGGCAGCCATGAGTATGCTCTAGGGGCCAGCAACTTTTTACTGGAAAAACTGAATGGATGTAATTTCTTGCTATTTGTAAGAAATGACACTTTAAAAATGTTTGGTAATAAGCTTCTTTAAAATAAAAAAGCAAGAATCCAGAAACTCAATATACTTACTAAAAAGTATAATTAAACCATCACAACATCCTCAGAAATTATGATCAAGATAAAAAGTATAACCTGATTAGTGTGGGATTAGGGGCAATAATGCTGAAAGAAAGGCAAATTGTACAGGTTTATGATATAAAGGAGACATGGCTTTAAATAAAGAGGCAGGATATTGAGTCATGTGGAAAAAACAATAGAAGAATTGCATTCTCTGTAATATTTTATGCCTAAATCAATGAATAAACCCATTTTTAATAAGGAGGAGCATGCTATATCTCACCCAGCATCTTCAAAGGAACATAAGAACTGTTAACCACTTTGGGGTATTATTCTCTCATTCCCACAGGTCCAGGCATGGTGGCGTGGCCTAATGGTGCGCAAAGGGGTTGGAGCCTATTCAGAGATCCTGAAAATGATGAAGAAAGTCAAGAAAGAGAAAAAAGAGAAGAAAGGCAAGGAGAAAGAAAAACCCAAAGACAAGAAGAAATAATTACTTCTTGGGGCTGTACAGGGCCTTTGGAAAGCCTGCAAGAAAACAAGAGAAATAAACACAAACGAATGAGTATTGCTTTTTTAAAATCCCTGTTTATCTTTAGAAGTAAATAAGTTATTTTCTTTTTTACTGCTCAAAGAACATTTCATGTGGTATGGATGGGAAGCCTGAATTGGCTATCCTCCCATCAACAGGTGAGGACTAGATGCCTAATATCTAACCTGAAACCTTCAAGTAAGCATGTAGATTCTGGCCACATGACCATGGAAGATTGTCTTCAGATAACAGTGGCTCCCTCGGTCAAGAAATGAGTGGCCAACATCCTTTAAAGTTGGACACAACTGACTGGGAAACCTTTATCTTAGATATTAGATGTAGTTCTCCACTTTTCCTCTTCAAGCTTTTGGCTGGCTGAGGAATTCTGGAAGCTGAAGCTGAAGTCCACAAATCTTAAAGTTGCCAAGTCTAGGTAAATCTGGAGACAACTGGTATCAATGAACCAACTAACCATTTGTATGCTACTCCAAAATTTTAGGCTCTATATCAAAGGTTGCAATGGGCATTTCCTTTCTTATTCAACCTGAAATCTTCAAGTAGTTTTTGTTGAGCTGCAGAAAGAAGCCAACCATTTAGTTCTAGGTCTGTGAATGGAAGTATCTGAGATAGGGCATCCAACAGCTTCCCAAGCCATTCCCCACAGCCACATTGTGATGAAGGACGACAGCTAATATCCAATTCAGAAAGTTGCCCGAGAGCAGATAGGCTTACGCAGAAGGTCTCCCATCCTTGGTCTGAAATACTGTTATTGTAGCTGAGGTCCAGGTTCTTTAGCTGAGCCAGAGGTCTAGCCTGGATGATCAAAGCTGAAAGAAACAACCAAAGAAATTAGGGGCAACAAAGATGATTAGGAGACTGGAGGTTATGATTGCTAGAACTGGGTATGTCTAGTTTGATGAAAAGAAGGAGTAGGGGTGATATGATAGTAATGTTCCAATATCTCAGCGGCTGCCACAAAGAAGAGGGAGTCAAGCTATTCTCCAAAGCACCTGAGGGCAGGACAAGAAGCAATGGGTGGAAACTAATCAAGGAGTGAAGCAACCTATAACTAAGGAGAAATTTCCTGACAGTTAGAACAATTAATCAGTGGAGCAACTTGCCTATAGAAGTTGTAAATGGTCCAATACTGGAAGTTTTTGAGAAGAGATTGAATAACCATTTGTCTGAAAAGGTATAGGGTTTCCTGCCTAAGCAGGGGGTTGGACTAGAAGACCTCCAAGATCCCTTCCAACTCTGTTATTCTATTCTACAGTATTTTATTCTAAATGTAGATAATGGGTTTAAAATCATACAAGGTGTACTCTCAGGTTGGATTTTGCACATGACTATTTATTAAGCTAAACTATTTCACAGCATTATGAGAATAAAATTGAGAGAGGAGACTCTTGTGAGTTCCCTATTTATAAGAATTAAATAAAGGCTTATCTCTTATAACTTTCTGTTGCTAGGGAACTTTTTCCCAATCATGGAGTTAGCACTGAAGAAATCCAATAGAGCCCTGAATTTTTCATACAATTCCTGGGTACTTCAAACACAAAAGCTAAACATAAAGAATCTAGGTCTATTACGTTTTCCATTGCCCTGAATCAAATGAAAGTCAAATAACAATTTTGACTTGTCTATGAAAACTGCAGTTGCTGACATTTTTGAAGATGTTTCTTTCTTTCCAAGAATGCCAAGGTCTCTTTTTCTTTCTAATTCTTTTTATTTACTTCTTTTCTGCATATTTGCTTTCCCCCCCTTCTTTCTTTATTCTACATTAGTTTTATTGACTTTCTATGTTCTTTTTAAAACTTTTAATACAGTTTATAATAATTACCTGCTCTCTTGCTGTCAGTGGCTGCCATTTTTAGTACCTGATCCCTCTCATGACTAAAGCAATTGACAGTTGACTCAGAACATTAATCTTTGATAACAAACGTGTGCACTATAATGTCTCTTTTAACTGAAGACTTTTTGTTAGCTTTCTAAGTCATCCCCATCTTCCTAAATTAAATCTGGAAAACCACAGAGTGATTTTTATGTTGCTTATTCTGATGTTAATCCTTTTATTTTGAGTCTTTAGCCAGGCTACTGGGAGTTCTGGGAACAAATTTAGAAGACACCAGATTGGGAAAATTTGTTGCTAAGGATTAGGGAGCCATTTGACACTATCCTCCTGAGCAAACTTCCTGTGATATTTAGGAGATATGTTATACCCAATGAATAAACCAAAATTGAAATGTAGTTTTGACAGAACAGGTGTGAAGGAATGGGAGAAGGGTGGATATAATTCTGTACATACCCAAATCAATCATATCTTCATCCACCAAGCTACAGCTGCTCATCCTTAATATTTGGATCTTGGAATCAGGTTTTAATGCTTTCAGAATCAGTTTTAAATTCCCACCAACACATTTATTCCAAGAAAGGTCTAGTAGCTTCAGTTCGGGAAGATGAGAGACAGCATCAGCTGAAAAGATTAACAACAACCCTTTGTACCATTCTCAGAGAAATTTGGCCCTATGCATACAAATTAGATTTCTTCTAAATATATCAAACTGATTTCCTGTGGCGTTCGGAAAAGACTGAGCTGAAGTCTTCACTCTGGTTTGTGTTTCCAGTGGGAACACGGACCGTTCCTATTGGCTGATGCCATTTGACAGCCGGCTATAAAAGGGAGCTGTCAAATGGCATCAGCTGTTGTCTGCCAGCTGGCTGCCTTGTTAGCATGGCAGCCGTGGCAGCCCTTTATTGTTACAATAAAGTAAAGCTGAAGTTCGCTCCGTGTTCGCCTCAGGTTATTCTGCCACTCTACAACACTGGCGACGAAGGTGGGATACATAGAAGAGGCAACCAGGCAAAGAATCGCTAAGCAAAGTCACTACAAAAAAAAGCCGAAGTCACTACCGAGCTGAATGTCACTAAGAGCTTACTGTCATTATTCGTGAGCGCGAATTTCAACTTTCCTCGGAAGATCCGGCACCGCTGAGTTGAGATGACTTCAAACCCTGCATTCCCGCCTTTCAGATCGACAGCAGAAACATGGGAATCCTACAGAAACCGATTTGACTGTTTCCTAGATGCCATAGACCTTGCTGACATTTCCAACCATAGGAAAAAGTCCTACTTTTTAAGTTTTTGCAGAGCCACAGTGTTTGACACTGCTATGGCATTATTGGCTCCACGTTCAGTTAAGACTGTTCCATGGGAAGAATTGCAGGAAATTCTTTCCAACCACTATTTTCCTAAGCCATCTCGAATTGCCAGGTGTCATGCTTTTAGGAGACGGATTCAGGCTGAGGGAGAGACTATTGGTGGGTACATGGCTGCCCTACAAAAAGCCACTTTGCATTGTGGGTTTAGAGACTATCTGGAAGACATGTTATTAGACCAACTAGTTTATGGAGTCAGGGATTTAAGCCTATAAAGGCATCTATTGGCTAAAGGTGATTTAACCCTTAAATTAGCAATTGAAGAGTCTCAAGCTGCTGAACTATCAGCACTTTCAGCAGCAGAAATTCAGGGAAATCCAATTAGCCAGAGCAGCTCAGCCATCCATTACGATGAAGCCTCCACAGAAGAAAGCTATGAAGAGGCTAATGATGTAAATCGCCACAAGCAGCAAAAAAACAGTCAAGGGAGAACAGGCCAAACCTCAATCTACCTCCACGGCCTCAGCCCATTTGTCTAAGCTGTGGAGGAAACCACCTCAGAGCATCCTAGAAGTTCAGGAATGCCATTTGTCTAAAATGCCAGAGGAAGGGTCATTTAGCCAGGATCTGTCAAGCAGGAAAGACTTTTGCCCAAAAGCCTCGGACAACCCAACATTTCCAAAAACAAGTTGAAGACTGTTTTACCTGCTATCAAGCCAAGCTGACTAACAAAGGCTCTAACAAAATCAGTGTTTTTGTTTCTATAGAAGGGAAACCTTGCAGGATGGAGGTTGTCCATCATCTCATGGAGCACCTTGAAACAACTACTTCCCAGAATGGCTAAGAAGAAGCTTCACGGCTGCCAGTTAACCATACGTGACTACCAAGGCAGAACCATCCCAGTCATTGGAAAAGGCAAGTTTTTTGATCAATTTCAAAAGTTTTGCCTTTAGTGGTAGTGGATGGTGCCCTCCCTAGCTTGTTGGGGTTAGACTGGTTCCCTGCCCTTGGCCTCCATATAAGCGGAATCCACTCTATTACAAATGCTGAAGTGAACACCTTGTTTAATGACTATGCTGATGTGTTCAGCGAGGGGCTGGGCTGTAATTCAGGAACCCCAATATCTTTCAACTTGGACCCTCAGTACCAATCCGTTTAAAGCCTCGAAGGGTACCTTTTGCAATCCACCCCAAATTATACATGGAGCTTGACAAATTAATTAAACAGGGTGTATTAGAGCCTGTGGACTTTGCAAAATGGGAAACCCCAATAGTGACACCCCTGAAGAAAGATGGTAGCGTAAGAATCTGCGCAGATTACAAGACGTCATTGAATAAATATTTACAAATCAGCGCTTATCCAGTCCCTGTTATCCAGTACCTACTACATTTTTTTGAGCCAGGAACCATTTTCGCGAAATTAGACATGTCACAGGCCTATCAACAGTTCCCTGTTGATGACACAGCCGCTGAACTACAAACTATTGTAATGCACAGGGGCGCTTTTAAATGTAGGCACCTCCAATTTGGCGTAAGTGTGGCCCCAGGGATTTTCCAATCTTTAATGGAAAGACTTCTTCGAGGATTACCAGATGTAATTCCGTATTTTGATGACATTTTTATATCTGCCCCTGACAAGTCTCAATTACTGCAGAGAGTCAGAGGAGTCCTCAATCGTTTCAGGAAGCATGGTCCTAAGCTAAAAAGAGAGAAGTACACTATTGCCACCCCACAGGTAGAATTTTTGGGATACAGAATTGATGCCTCTGGTATTCACCCAATCGAATCCAAAGTAAGGGCTATTCACGAGGCACCCACACCAACTAACAAAACTGAGCTCCAGGCCTTTTTAGGACTTCTTAACTTTTACGTTTCAATTTTGCCACATAAAGCTTCCATTGCAGAGCCTCTGCACAGACTCTTGGGTAAGCAATCCCCCTGGCACTGGGGACCTAAGGAAGCCCATGCTTTCCGTGCACTCAAATCATTGCTCACATCCAATGCTGTTCTAATCTAATTTAATGAGCATTTACCTTTAGTTTTAGTAGCAGATGCTTCTCCTTTTGGCATAGCTGCCGTTTTAAGTCATAGACTGCCTAATGGTTCTGAGGCACCCATTGCCTTTTTCTCCAGAACTTTTTCCCCAGCTGAGCGCAATTACAGCCAAATTGACAAGGAGGCTTTGGCTGCAGTTGCTTCTGTCAAAAAATTCCATGAGTTTCTATATGGACACTATTTCGAGTTGGTTACGGATCACAAGCCTCTGTTAGGCCTTCTGTCAGGCGATAGACAAACTCCTCAGATTTTGTTTCCAAGGATGACCAGGTGGACTTTATTTCTGGCTGCCTATTCCTATACACTGGTTCATCGAGCTGGCAAGAGTCTCTGCCACGCTGATGCTCTTAGTCGCTGCCCCCTGCCTGTTCCTGTGGAGGATCCTGCACCAACTAATGCTGTGTTCCTGATCAACGATCTCAAACTTCCCATCCCCGCCCTTGTTATCGCTGCCCACTCTGCCAGGGACAAGGTAATCGCCCAAGTCCTTGACTGGGTGGGAAGGGGGTGGCCTGCAATTCCTTATGCCCTCGAATTCATGCCTTTCAAAACTCACCAGCAAGAACTGTCTTCTTTGCAAGGCTGTTTACTTTGGGGAACTAGGGTAGTTGTCCCTTCCAAGTTGCAAGCTTCAGTTTTAAAGGTCCTGCATGAAGGGCATCCCGGCATTGTCAGAATGAAAATCCTAGCTCGCAGTTACGTATGGTGGCCGGGCATGGATGCTCAGATTACAAGTTGGGTGAATGCTTGTCAGCCATGCCAAGTTACCAGACCTGCTCCACCCACATCCACTCCAGGCAGGTGGGAAAATTCTGGGACCCCTTGGTCCCGGGTGCATATTGATCTGGCTGGCCTCTTTCATGGGCGTACATTTCTGGCGATGGTTGATTCTTTTTCTAAATGGGTAGAGCTGACCTTGATTACCACCACAACTTCAGAAGCCGTCACTAAGGCTCTATCAAGGATATTTGCTACCCATGGCCTCCCTGACACTATCGTGTCTGATAACAGCCCCCAGTTTACTTCCTGTGAGTTTGAGGTCTTCCTAACTAACCTGGGAATCAGGCACGCACTTACAGCTCCTTTCCATCCTGCCAGTAACAGCCTGGCTGAAAGAGCAATCAGATCTGCTAAGGAGGTCCTGGAAAGGCTTGGGCCCATAGATTGGCACTCTAGGCTTGCTAAGTATCTTCTAACCCAGCACATGACTCCCTGTGCCACCACTAATAGGTCCCCGGCTGAACTTCTCATGGGTAGGCATCTGAGGACTACTTTAGATAGATTTCATCCATATTATGCCCCAGTCACGCCCCCTAGGATCAAATAGCCAGGCAAGGGAGTTTGCTGAAAATGATCAGGTCTATGCCTGGAATTATGCGGGACACCCTTTGTGGATGCCTGGGCAGATTGTGGCAGTAACCGGTCCTAAGTCTTACAGGGTCCAACTGCAAGATGGGCGCATCTGGCGCCACCATATCGATCAACTTAGAAGGCGTTGGAGTTCGTCTGCAGATGGCCCTCAAGACGTTCCTACAACTGAGAAACCGCCAGTGCCCAAAGAAACTTCCTGCGAATCTGACAGGAACGCAAGCCTACCTGAGCAGCCATCTGTCCCTCGCCCAGAGATGCCTGAAGCCGAGATGCCAGTTTTGCCGGCACCAGAAGTTGCCCAACAAGCAGAAAAGTTCCTTCCAGGAGCAGCTTCGTCAGAACCTAGAAGATCTGGCCGCCTGCGCAAGCGCCTGAGTTATCTGAAGGACTACGCATGCTCCGTTCGGGGGGAAAGGAGTGTGGCGTTTGGAAAAGACTGAGCTGAAGTCTTCACTCCGGTCCATGTTTCCAGTGGGAACACGGACCGTTCCTATTGGCTGATGCTGTTTGACAGCTGGCTATAAAAGGGAGCTGTCAAACGGCATCAGCTGTTGTCTGCCAGCTGGCTGCCTTGTTAGCCGCGGCAACCCTTTATTGTTACAATAAAGTAAAGCTGAAGTTTGCTCCGTGTTCGCCTCAGGTTATTCCACCGCTCTACAACATTTCCCAACTTTTATTCCTCCTGAATCTTATTACTACTAAGGAACAAAACCATGTCCAGGTATTCCAGGGGTGTCAAACTCGCAGCGTCACATTGTTGTCATGTGATATATCACGACTTTTCCCCCCTTTGCTAAAATGGGCGTGGACATGACCAGCACGTGACACATCTGGCCTGCGGGCCACAAGTTTGACACCGCTGAGGTAGTCCTTGACTTGCAACCAGCTGCTTAGCAACTGTTTAAAGTAATATTGCACCTGGAACAAGGACATCACCCCCAATTCCACAGCCACATGACCACACTTTGGCAATTGGCAACATGGCTGCATTTATGCCCATTTGCAGCACCCCACAGTCTTCTGATCACATTTTAGGATGGCTTTAGATTTTAGAAATGTACAAATGGACTAAGGGCCCAATAAAATTTAAATTTATTTAAAAGACTTGGAAATTAATCATAAAGAATCCTTCCCAAAGAATTTCATTTTGAATTTTAAAAATTGGACATTAAAAGGAACTAAAAGGAATGAAAGATTATGATTAAAGAAGAACACTTAAACTTGACTTCGATTTACACAATGAAGCAAAATATTTTAACCCTGGACATACTGAAGAATATCTTTTAATAATGGACCCAGACATTAATGTTAAGAGTGTCTGCCTCTATAGGCAGACCATAAATGGAAGAGGAACAAATTCTACTAGAAAGAGGAGGAGGAGGACACAAGGAGTCAAAGACAGAATTTTAGTGTGCTCTTACCTAAAGACAGAAATGAATCATGTTGCAAGGCACAATTGCTGAGGAGCACAGATGTCAGTCTTGGTAAAAATCGGAGTCTGCTAAGAAGATGATAGGTAGATATTCCTACATTTGTATTTGAGGATAAATTCAGCTCCCGAAGATTTGTCAAAAGGGGTATTATCTGGGCTGAGAAAAAATGGTAACAGATACTAAAATCAAAAATATTTTTTTTAACCCATTAATAGAAAACCAGCATGTATTGACCTGTGAATCTTTCTTCTACTCTTTGCTTCTCTTAATTGTTTGAATACAACATTTATAAATCATCTGAAAAATGGAGTAATAGAAACAGCTTTAAAATGATAAGAAATGAAGCAATATCTTTATTAGGAGATAATGCAACTTTACCATCATAGTCAATATTGAAGAAAACACTCACTTGAAGAGTGTCTTCTGTTGAAGTAATGACCTCATTGTATTAAAATATCTTTGACAACACATTAAAGATGATTTAATTGACTAGACTGGGATATTTATCTCACTTAGCCGAACAGACAAATCTATTTCTCTGCTGTAATTTTCAGTAATGGACCTGCTCTCAGCTACTTCTGTACTGAGATATAAATTACTTGAATTGATTTGTTAAAAGCCTGGGAGAATTGATGATTCCCTTTTTGCATGGGCTAATAAGCACTGCTTCTCCCAGCTAAATGATTTTACCATTTTTTTATAATGCATTTTCACATATTTCTTACATAAAACCAACATGTCCTCTTCTGTAATACAACACTGATGAAGATTCAGGATTTCAAGGTTACTTAAACTGGCCAAATGACCAGCCAAAGACTGGAAACCTCCTCCAATCAATTTATTGCAGGATAAATCTAATATTCTCAATTCCGATAAATATTGGAAAGCAGCATCTGAAATAGGTAAGTTTTTACTAATTATATAATTTCTAACCATTACATTTAAATAAGATATTCATTTGTATGACAGATAAATCATATTTCATCCATAATGATGGGATTCAAGGATGCACACAATACTACAAAAAGATTAACATAATATAATAATGCTGAATTTACACAGCCAAAATGATAAAAGCTGTTTGTTAACCATATTCACTATCTTATGTTATTTTTCCTTTGTCAGAAATGTGGCTGGAGCATAATCTAACACATTTTGATTAGCTCAGAATTAAGATTTGAATTGATGAATTCCTTAAGTTATCAGGTTTTAGTTTCAATATTTTTTCTATAAAAATTCTAACTTACTACACTAAGAGGTTATGTGCATTTTAAATATTCTTAAGCAAAAACATTTAACTTAATTTTCTGTTCATAACTTGCATTTATTTCAAGATTCCTTATTCTGGATGTTAACAAACTTTACATTATTTCAAATGCTGAATTACTTGTTGAATTTATGAAGATGATGCTTAAGATCAGTATCTTAGCTAAACTACCACTAAAAATATTGGAAATCTGAAACTGTCTACAATGTAAAATTAAATTCAATTTATGAACAATTCAGCTGTAATTACAGTAATGGAGCAACTCTGTATTCTGTGATTTTTACTTCAAGCCCCGACTTTTTGTGCTTTGGCCATATTAACCTTCACCACCTCCTTCAACATATAGTTTTCAATTCCTACCCAAAAAATATTGGATACAAATTTACTTATGAAAAAAAAATCCAGCTCCCAATCAACACCTGTATTTACCTAAGGAATGGAAACCATCTTGTTCTAATCCACATGTGTTCAGATTTAATATTTGCAAGCTTGAGACAAACCGTAATTCCTGAGCAATGTTTTTAAGACTACATCCCAACTTTACATTGATTGACAAGTCCAGAATTTTGAGGCTGGGGATTCTACTTAGAAGCTCAGCTGAAAATAAGACAGATGCAGAGTGATTAAGAACACTGGAACACAGGATAGCAGACAGTTGCAAATAATTTTTTTCAGAGTTTACTACTTAGGAAATCACCCCAAGCATTTTTGAACTAGGATTGCTAAAGAAATATCACAGAGACATTTTAATAAAGTTTCTGAAAATTCCAAGTGAGAAACTAGAAACTAGATCTAATCTGAGAAACTAGATCTAATTCTGAGTACATCTCCAGAATTCAGCAACAAATCACCAAATCTCATTTATAGCTACAAATGAAGGAAATAAAATGTCTTAAGTCTTTGACAGGCTCAAGTATGTCATCTTAACGAAGAAACCCCATAGGAAAAGCATGAGACATAATCTGCTCTGCTTGGCTTATATGCTGCTTCAATCCTAAAGATTCCAAGTCCTTTTAAATAATACAGATCAAATTTTAATATAAAAAGTAAGTTATATAACACAATAGCCAGTCTTGAGATAACACCATTACAACAGCTAGATCTTCAAGTGTGCATGGTACCCTAATATTATGGATATGTATTCTAGGGAACAGGCATTTCCATTATTGGATAAATCAACCCTATCCACCATGTTGATTCTTTCATAATGTAGAACAAACACCACATCCTAATTCCCACCTGTATTCTACTGCTGTTACATATACAAGGGATTAAGACTAGAATAACCAATGGCTCCTCCTTTTAGGACATGTTAATTATCTACAGTATTTCCAGTGGCTTTGAAAAGTTCTGGGGCATATAGATATGGATATAGATGACATGGATATTGTGACCTATGACATTGTTCATGTTTCTCTCCCTCATTTTGCCTGATTTTGTTTTACTTTTGTCAGTTTTTTTTAAAGTTTTCTGAAGTAAATATCAAATTATATTTTCGCTAGCTGAACTAAGTGCTGTGTGTGCTTGCTCTGATTTGGAAATAGAGATATAGTGCATTATCCTAGATGCATCCTGTATGCAAATTAAATTGGAAGTTATCCACAATAATTGTCCAATACACATGACCAGCTTTGCTGTCTCCCAATTCTTCTCACTTCCAGGATAAAATGGACCAAGACTTGTTTATTCCTTGTCTTTCTACCCCAGCCTAACTCTGGCTCCATGCACAATATAATGCACATAAGAGAAGCAGGGATGATATCCTATAAGTGAAAATTGTAATAGGCAGTGAAAGCAATCTTGGGAGACAGGAGGAAGAGCCTCAATATAAGCAACAGTCCAATAAGAGAAATCTGAGTCTAAAAGAGGAATGAGGGTGCCTCAGAAGAGACCCTCCCTAATTATGAGCCACAGTGGAGCCATGGTTAGAGGGCAGTACTGCAGGCTACTTCTGCTCACTGCCAGCTGCCTGCAATTTGGCAGTTCAAATATCACCAGGCTCAAGGTTGACTCAGCCTTCCATCCTTCCAAAGTTGGTAAAATGAAGACCGAAATTGTTAGGGGCAATATGCTAACATTGTAAACTGCTTAGAGAGGGCTGTAAGGCACTGTAAAGTAGTATATAAGTTTAAGTGCTATTGCTATTGCTATCGGGAACATAAAGGTAGGGCAGGGAGAAAGTACTTTCAAGATACTGTTGCTATAACCCTACAACAAAGGTAGTACTTAATCCTCTGGATTTTGGTTTCCTGTCAGGACCACTTAGAAGAGCTGGAAAAATCATGAGTTCATTCAATCAGACCTTGAGTTTGAAGAATAAGCTGATACAGGGAACACTCCAAAGATGCCAACATCTCTCTGCCACAGAATCTTACCTAGTGATTTCCCATCTTCCTGAGTAAGACAGCAATCTGTTACTTTTAATGTTTTGAGTTTAGAGCCTTTGAGGATTTTGGAGGTTAGAAGGGAAAGGCTTCCCCCAATGCCACAATTCCATGATAAATCCAGTATCTCAAGGTGAGGAATCCCATCTAGCGCTTCTCCTGTTAAATAAAAAATAAACTCTTTGTGATGTTTCAGCTATTGAACTGAATATGTGGAAAATATCACACATGTACAAGACTATTGAAGATTTCAGTCATTGATAGGGGGTGAGTGAATCTGTAAATTTCCCTCAATTGGTTTGCTGTACTTTATCTCCATAGTAGCTTGAGAATGGATTGGAACTAATTTGTACTAATGTATTTTTTGCATATTTCTTTATACTTCACAAACTGTTTTGTCCAATCAAATACCATTTAGAATCCAACTTTCCTGAATATATACTTTGCTGTGCCATTACATTCAGGAATATACATATTTTTGTCCTTTCTCCAATGTAAAATGTAATATGCTATAGGAAGTATAGTGGGGAAATGCATTTCAGTATTGAGACAACAATCTGAATTTTGAAGGATAATTGAGTTTCTTTTGGGGGGTATTGGCTCAAAAATACAAAATTAGAGGATCAAATATGAACAGAGTAAATTTCTCTGCCATCAGTAACCACTGTGGCAGCTTTTAATGGTTGCTTTCTATCATGCAGGGAACAAAAACTTTATATGGAGAAACAGATGATACAAAGGCAAGCTTCCCTTCCTCTCAGGGCCTGACTGGTTCACAGAGATATGGAAGGAGCAGAATGTAGACTTCAGAACAGATTCAATATCTTCCCCTGCTTTAACATCAGGAAGGGGACAGTTATATGCTAGAGATAATTCAAAGAATCAGCAGGTCTAGATTTTGCAATTTCTTTAATAATGAAGTCAATTGGGATGACTTAATGGATTCTACTACTACTAAACAGTACCTAAACATGCAACATCCTTGGTTGTGAGTCTGCAGCTGTTCAGCTGGAGAACTTTCAGCTCTTGCAGATGTTTGAACTGAAGGGCCAGAGGTTCTAGTGCTCCTCCTATGAAGTCATTCCAGGAAAGATCAATCTCTTCCAAATCCGGCATCAGTGGTATTACAGCAGCTAAAAGGCAGCCAAGCAACAGAGAAAGATTGCTGACACACAGCAAGGCTAGAACATGAATGAATGTTATTATTTCTCTTAAATCCAACTGCTGCATCCGAGTTTATTAGTTTATGGTTAATACTAAGCCACACCAATGCACTCTATGTCTCTTCTACTGTATATTCATGTAGTTAAATGTTCTCCTCTTTAAAATTTTTGCTGGTCCTTTATTCCCTGAAGTTTAAAGAGCAGTGTCACAGCTAACCAGAGTGAAATAGGTTGTGTAAACAGCCCTTGGCTATATTTTCACACAATGATTCACATATAAGTGCTATGATGTAGCACTAAGAAAACAAGTCTGATGGAGCCTTGGGCATATATAGTTTCCTGAGGTTTTTTTCTCCCAACTCCAGCCACAAGGAGATGGAAAGCTTTACAATATGTTACTATTTAATGCTATTTAATGTTACAAACCATAGTCAGCTCTAACTATATCTTGCTCAAAGAAGCTTGCTTTGTAAATGGTATATTAAAGATGACTTATTTTAATAAATTACACTGTAAATAACTATCAAATTGATTATTATACAATAGTAACAAAAATAACAAGTAGATCATTCTTTTGATCTACAACTCTCTTTTGATTTACAACTCTCAACAGCATTTTTTAAAAAGCAGAGAAAATCTAGCCTTACACCAATTTCCATAATGTAAACGATTATCTCTTGTTTTAGGAAAATGCAGCAGTTGAGTGAATGAATGAATGAATTCCTCATAGCAGGTCTATTGCCGCAAAATAAATTATAGTCTCGAGGAACCTTAAAGATGAGCAGATATTATGTGAAATAAATTTCTGTGGGTGGAATTCATTGAATGCATTCCCGCTTGGTAGAAAGGAGAAATTGAAAAATTGAAAACAAAAGTCCATACAATGCAAGAAATACAGCCTGCTGGCTGGAGGAATTCTGGGACTTGAAGTCCACACATCTTAAAGTTGCTCAGGTTGAGAAATACTTCTCTAAATTATTTTTAAAAAGAGTTTTAGGAAAGGGCTTGAAGTAAGAAAGAGGATGGGCTGGAAATTTAAAGAGAAAAAATTTGATTCCACGTAAGAAGAGCAGAATGAGATATTCCAAATTTTATAAATGAAAATATTATGTGCCAAGTTGATTCTTGAAGGGCCTCAGAGAAGATAATTGATGTGTGTGCATATGTATGAGTGTGAAAAGAAGTATCACAGAAGTATACTCACTCAGCTCCATTATATCCACTGCATTCAACGTACAATTGTTTAAATCCAAATTCTTGTCAGAGCGCAATCTGCCAATTTTTTTCCAAAACTGCTGAACTCTCCAATGATACGACATTGTTTCTGCTGGAGAAGTAGAAGTTAGCAAGTTATTTGGTGAACAAACAAACTAGGAATGTACCATCTCAGCATCTACCAACAAAGCCAAGCCAGGCAGCATGAACCAACAAACCCTCTTTGTCGGGCCTCTAATTGACCTAGTTTTGGAAATACAAAGATACCCTTGCCAAATGTAGTTGGTGAAAATGATCTGATTTCTTCAACTATGAATACAAAAGATATCAGGCTGGGAACTGGGAGGCTGTGAGTTCCAGTTCTGCCTTAGGCACAGAAGCCAAGTGAGTGGTTCTGAGCCAATCACTTTCCCTAGGTAACCCTAGAAAGCCATGCGAGATCACTTCTAAAAAAATTGCCAAGCAAACAGCAGAAAATTGTCCAGGAAGTCACCAGGAATCAAGCACACCATTAGTTAGTTACCTTAGTTAACACACAAATAGTCAGACAAGTTTGTTGAATGTACATTTTGACACAATTTTGCTGACTCATTTTAGTGCCTTTGGAAAAACATGTGTTTGCCATCTATTGTGAACTGCTTTGTTCTCATTTTTGTCTGACTCTGATCTCATGCTATTTATTGTGAATGGTCCATAGCTTTCCCAGATAAGCAAGAGATGGCACCATATAAGCATAACCAGAACCAGACATCATTATTCATTATTAGTTATTAGGCTGACTTCTTTGAAGATCATGCTTTTTTACTAAAATGCAATTTGCACATACAACATTTGAGATATAAATGGCTTTGGCTAAGATTATCATCAGTTTTAAACTGTTCTTCTCAGTCTACTTAAATTGGAACCAATGTCCTTTTGATTCACTGAGAGAATTTCTAATACATTCGGTGGGACTTCATTTGAGCTTTGAGGAATTGCACACTTCAGTTGAGTGATAGTATGTCCAAAAGCTATATGCATGAAATCCGTAGCAGCATGGCAATTTGAATTTATAGTTCTTACATTCAGGCATAGTAATATATGAGTTATGATTGAGTTTATTTGAAGTGGAACAATTAGGTACATTCATTCTTATTGGTGCAAATGTCTTTGCAGTCAACTAATCTTCAAAGAAGACAAACTAAAATGTTTAGCCCAATAGTCCCAAAGGTGCTTTTCCAAAGGCAACTGGACTTTCTTTTTCCTTGAAGAGATTTTGCTTCTCATCCAAGAAGCATCTTCAGTTCTGGCTGAATGGTGAGAAATGGAACAATTTATATTCCTTAGTAGTCATCTGGTTGTTAGCACTCTGAAGGTCAGTCATTAGTCCTTGGAGAGTCGTTGAGGCTGCTTGGAGGTTTGTACCCACAGAGTCACCTGAATTAGAGGGCAAATGAGTGTGGAACCTTCTTGGGACTGCTGAAAGAACTGTGTTGTAGACAGGAGATAGGCGTTGAGAGAAGGCTGTTCAGTTTTAATTTAGATGGCCTCTTTGACCTCTCTTAATGTCCCTACAGGAACCATTGGACCTATTGACTGTTGATTATTTTTGCAAGCTGTCTTGACTAATCTTAAAATACACCTCTTGAGAAATAAGAACAAATGCAATTCAGTGTTCTCACATACTGGTAATGTCTTTAGTGTGAAATGGAATAAAAATGTAACGATTGGTCAAGATAGTTCATATCTTACTTGCCCTCATGCAAATATGGATGCCCATTGGGCAGGGAAAATATTTGCAGTCATGTTATCTTGCAAATACAGCATCTTATGGTAAAGTTGTATGATGGCATCATTGCACACATCATCATTTGGCATCACCATAGTTTGCTATGGATGCCCCTGAATATCTAGTATTACCACATAGATCACATATGTGAAACAATTAGTCTATGCTTAAACATAATTTGAAAAAGCAGCAAATAAAATTTGTTCTGTGTATAAGCTGGATGGAAGAAAAAATTCCAGTAGAAATCTGAGCAAAATAGGAATTTGTTAAACATTAATGAAAACATTTATGCTTAGTCCTCCCTCACCCCTACTCATGGTGTGTGTGTGTGTGTGTGTGTGTGTGTGTGTGTGATCTTTTTAGATCTTTTAAAACTCTAACTCATGATAGGGTTTGTTTAGAAACATTATCAGCTGTATGTGATCTCTTAAACATTGTGTAATCATTGGAACTTGCAATCTTCTCATCTCCCATCAGAAACAGAATTCATATGCACAAATATACACAAAAATAAGACATATTTTAAAATTTTTTTCTTTTAAAGTTGAAGAACTTCACATACACTAATACATTTTAAATCAAGCAACTTACCTTTGTCATCCATTGTAAAATTGGTTTCTGACTTGTAAATCAAATCAGCCTTGACAATGGGTTCTTGATCATTTTAAGTGCTTCACTTTGTTTAGTTCTTCTTGGACAATTTCTGCTGTTAACATAACTTCTCTGGAGGAAAAAAGGGAAAATTTGGAAAAACAAAGCCAAACTACTGCTATTCTAGAAATCTGTGGCAGACTTGTTGCCCCAAGCAGATTTTTTTTCTCAATTGATTTTGGCTGTTTTCTGTTCTCTCAAATTTTGTCAAAGGTTTAGTAAATAGTTGTGCTTAGATATTTCATTAAATACTCTACTGTCCCACCCTCCCTCCCTCCTTCCCTCCTTTCCTTCCTTTCTTCCTTTCTGCTTGCCTTCCTGCCTTCGCTTCTTTTCTGCAGTTCCAAAATTAAAAGGAGAATAATTTTGTAGACTTTGATACTACAGCTTCCTACATGTGACACTTTACTGGGGTTGCGTTTGTTTTCCAAGGGTTGAGTCAATTTATAGGTCAGATTACAATACTTCAAGAACAAGTTCAGTGTGTTCTCTAACTTTTCGCTTCCTCTAGTTTTAAGGATAAATTTATGCACTCTGAGAAAATTGTGGCACCAAATAGGCACAAAAATTAATATCATAAGTAAAAGATAGTGATTTCAGAACAAAAATCTGCTATTTATTCAGTGTGTTTAATTTTAAAAGATCTTTGCAGACTTCATTATGCCTGCATGTACTATTTTACTGAGCAAATCGCTTTATATTGACTGTTTCCTAGTATGATTTGATTGTTGATTGTACCCTATGACTATCATTAAGTGTTGTACGTTGTGATTCTTTATTCTTAACGAATGTATCTTTTATGTATACTGAGAGCATTTACACCAAGACAAATTCCTTGTGTGTCCAACCACACTTGGCCAATAAAGTATTCTATTCTATTCTATTCTATTCTATTCTATTCTATTCTATTCTATTCTATTCTATTC